AAAATAACTAAATTAATCGGCCAATTGATCACCTGATATCTCAAACTGGGCAATCTTCACCACGAGTACTTGGGAGAGCATGGCACCAGCCGGATTCGAACCTGTAGCAAGTGCAATCTACGGACCCGCGCTCTAACCGTTAAGACATACCAGAATGATCACTTAATTTTTTTTTTTTTCCTTATAATCATAAAGATTCTCCTAATAATCGCATTCTGGATTGGACGAAATCATTCATTGCATTTTTGATTGGACAAAATTAATAACGTGATATCTATTTTGATAATCGTTTACGTTTGTTTGGATTACTACAGTACTAACGTTTTTTATTCTTTAATACTTCGTTTCTCCGTTGGCTTCTGGAATTAGGAATGTGGTAGGTGCTTTTTTGTATATATATATTTTTTAACACTTGCGCGTGTCTTGCTTCACTGGGTCTTCTTCAGCTTTACTTTATTGGATCTTGCTTCGTCGGGTTTGGCTTCGTTGGGACTTCCTTCTTCTTTTCTCCGTTGGATTCAGAATCTGGAATTAGGAATGTGATAGGTGCTTTTTTTGTATAGTTTAATTTTTTTTTTCTTTAAACGAAACTAATACTTCTTGCACGTGTCTTACTTTGCTGGGTCTTCTTCGGGCTTTACTTAATTGGATCTTGCTTTTTCGGGTTTGGCTTCGTTGGGACTTCCTTCTTCTTTTCTCCGTTGGTTTCAGAATCTGGGATTGGGAATGTGGTAGGTGTTTTTTTGTATAATTTAAATTTTTTTTTTTCTTTAAATGAAATTAACACTTCTTGCGCGTGTCTTACTTCACTGGGTCTTCTTCGGGCTTTACTTTATTGGATCTTGCTTCGTTGGGTCTTGCTTGTCGGGTTTGGCTTTCTTGGGTCTTGCTTCGTCGGTTCTTATTTTATTGGTCTTTGTTGGGTCTTGCTTCGTCGGGTCTTACTTTATTGGTTTTGCTTCATCGGATCTTTCTTCGTCAGATCTTACTTTGTCGGTCTAACTTCATCAGGTTTTGCTTCGTTAGTTCTTACTTCGTTGGGTCTTACTTTGTTCATTGGGTCTTGTTTTATCGGGTCTTGTGCTATTGGATCTTACTTTGTTGGGTGCTGTATTTTGTTGGGTCTTGTATTTTGTAGTCTTGCGTTTCGTAGGGTCTTGCATTTTGTTGGGTTTTTTGTTGGTTAAAGTATGTTACAGAATTTAAAAATAGAACATAATTAAGTCTAGAGTTAGATTAGTAT